TTACTATGTAAAGATACTTCAGGTCTCTGCCGTCTCCCCCAACCAAGGCCGGCTGTGCAGGCCGCTCTCCAGCCTTGAGCTTCATCTCCGCGTCGCGGCGCATGGGCTCCACGAACTCCACCAGGTCCACGTCGGAGGCTTCAAAGAGGCCGAAGACCTCCCAGTCTTGGGAAACGGGCGTGGTGAGTGCGAAAGGGAGCGGTCCGGTTTGGGGCTTCGCTTCCAAACGTGCTTAGCGGTCTTCTTCAGGAAATGATAAAGTTGTATCAAGACTTGATCCATCTGTGAATCGGTGCGCAACCCAAGAAGATTGATCCACGCTTGCCCACAGCTGCATGATGAACATCATGCCCGAGCAGGTCAGCAACCCTCCCACGCGTCTTCACCTGCAAGCTGTGCGGTTGGCGCAAGCGGCGCTCCTAGCGGTCACAGCGTGGCGGGTTTCTCACAGGTTGGATTCCAAGGCAGTTCGACCCCTTCCAACTCCTTCTCTTCCGAACAACCAAACAAACATTATGGGCAGAAGTAGGTCCAGAGGCCAAACGTCAAGCAAAGTCATGGATGTTGGCCTGGTACTATAAACGTCATATGTCAGCAACTATTACAAGATGGATGCTAGCCCACCCACCACTCGTCTGTGCATCAAAATGACTGCACGTACTGCTTCGTTCTAGAGATTTCTAGAGGGTGCATGCATTAGAGGGAAGAAATGTCATCATACTGAGTCATACTGTAGACTGATTCCCCCAGAACTTGGTTGTGAATCTGCTCCGACAACATGTTGGGGGATCAATATGGATCGATGATCACAATGACAAGGACATCAAGATTTGTATAAAAAGAGATCAAAAGATTGTAAAATAGAGAAAATCAATGGAAAAACGGACGATTCCCCCCGGATCTGCCCAATGTTGTGGTCGGATTTGCCCATCAACCAGGCGCCTTGATCTTCTGCAGCAGCTGGTCATCAGGGCGGCTGGCGAGCACCTGGGCCGACCATGGAATACATGACCACAAGAAAAGGAAAGAGGGGGTGTCTATCAACAACCCGCTAGGGCCTCTAGGGGCTTCTAGGTGTTGTCAGTTTCTGTGTTTCATCCTTGGTGCAAACTGGAGATGTCCAGCGTAAGGTCTGGTCTCCAGGCCGATTCATTACAGAGTCATGAAGAAACGAAGTCTAAGAAAGACTGGTCAATTGTACTGCCATCTCCCAAAGTTGACATCGTCTTCCTGGAGTAGGTAGACTGCAATCGACATATGCTCCAAAACCATGCCCATGTTGCCCCTTCTTTGAAAGCCTTCCAGCCTTGCTCACACGTTCCCATCTTATCATCCTCTTTCAGAAATCCTCTCTCCAAAACCTCACCCGCCAAACCGTCCCCCCCCCCAAGACCCACCGGCGCCTCGGCGGCCTCCTTGGCCAGGATCGCTCGCTGGGACATGGCCAGCTTCAGCAGGTCCCCGTGGAGTCCACGGAGCTTCGAACGGTTCCCGTTGCGGTCGTCGCTCGTGGCCACCTGGCGGTGCAGGGAACGCCCACGAAGCCAAAAGGACCAAAACAAGTGGATATGCATCATTTCTGTGATCGGAGCTTGGGGCATTGAAAAAGCTAAATTTCACGCTCCACCAACCTCACCCAAACTGAACTTTTTCTTCATTTGTTGTAGGGCCCATCACGGTGTCAAACTCGTCACTTTTGCAGAAGACCGTCCCTGTGATTCCACCATATCCGCCCAATGAATCTTTGAACATCTTTGAACGGCTTCTTGGACCAAAATCCTTTGCAAAACAACGGACGGGTGGCACAAAATGGGACATTGGGATCTTTCAAGAGGCCGGTCCATGCAGGCTGTCCATGCCTGACAGCCGTTCAAGTGGAGCTTCTCCAAACCCCATGGGACCTGGCAAACCGAACGGTCGAGAGCGGTCGAATCTGGGGCGAGGCGAAAGGGGCGCTCAATCGGTCAGAGGTGTTCAAGAACAAGCTGAACAGTGAAAGCATTCGTGAGTACCCAAACCGGTCTCCAAAACCTTTCCAAGGAGCCCTCTTCTGACCTTCTTGAGTGAAGGTTCCCGTTCGAAAGAATCCCAAGAAGAAAGCTCCATCGCTCCGTCGCTCGATCCCAAAAGCCGGACACAGGGCGGTCAGGGCGGTCAGGGCGGTCAGGGCGGCGGTTCACCATCGTGCGAGTGGACCACGAGTCCGACCCGGAGGAGGTGACCCTTCTGATCATCCTCAAGCGTCCAAGGTTTCCAGTTACGGTGTTTGGTCCCGGGGCCACCTGCCGCTGGTCCATCTTCTCCAGCCCGCCACGCTCCTCCTCGGCCCCAAAACACACCCAACGCCGCCTCGAAGTCCACGGCCTCTGGTCGCTGGGCCATCACATCACAGGCCACGCCCACCAAGGCCTCCGAGCGGACGGGCTCCGTCGGCTCGACTGACGCGTCGGACGAAGAAGGTCTCCATCACGTGATCGGTGTTACGACCCGTCGAAGTGTGATGTGTAGATTCATTGGAAGATGTTATGAAAGCAAGGATTTGGGATAAGTTCATGCACATCTCTATATAGTTTCACATGTGTCTGGTGTCCACAAATCCGGATTGACGGGAGTGAAACCGCTCTTGTGCGTCTGTGTACAAACCACCAGTCTAACATCAAAACGCATATTACTGTATGCCTCTTCTCACCAGCAACTGTGTTGTCGAACTAGCCCCTTCGAACTCAAAAAGACTGACTCAGCTGTCAACTCCTAATCACACAAGCTTGTGGTAGATCTGATTGAAACTCTCCAGAAACGTTCCGAATCTCTCATCTCTGTACTTAGACCATCCAACGGGTCTTGTGGATAGTCGGACACCGCTCCAGCTGATCCCTCCAGCCTCCGCCGAGTCAGGGCCCAGCGGGTTTTGCGAGAGGTCCTGCGCCCGACAAAGAGAGGAGAGTGGATCTTCTTGTGCCCAAGATTCCCCAACATCAGAAACAGGATCTCAGGTTCAAACTCTTTGTCTGAAGTTTCAGGAATGGACCCCTGCTCATAAGAGCAATTACCAAACCATTTACATGGCCGTTTGGGGGAGTACTAGAGTAGAATTGCACCGCTTCGCCCAACTTGCAGTCACCCTCAAGAGGCAACCAGTTCTTGAGTTTTCTGAACAGACTCAGAAATCTTGTTGGAAAGTCCATGACCAGTACTGGTACTTGTTTCCGAGACAATATGAAACCTCGTGCTGCGGCACCAGGTCTTGTTAGTCTGTGGTGGCCCCTACCAGTCGCTCCAATGAACTTGCATGCCGAGCTCGCTGGCCTCTTCGCGGGGTGGTTCTGATTGCCAGGTTCGTGCCGGCCGGTCGAAACTGGCTCTGGGTCAAGATACCTTGGTTGACCTACCTGCGATACTTGCGACTGTCTGAACGCGCACCACAGGGTCTTTCTGCTCAGCAGGATATCCGGGGCATGTGGTAAATGACCCTGAACACAAGATGAACAGAATCTACACTATGGTACAGGTGAGACCGAATATCCGCGCAGCATGGTGTCGAAGAATGTCAGTTGACCTACCTGGTACGCTGACCTTCTGACCCTCACTTCTTACAGTTCGTTTCTAATAAATCTAATAAGTGGCTATATAAAGGCAATGTTGCATATTCCTAAGCTTTATGTTGTTGGAATCCTGCTTGTGATGCTTACTTATCTGACCCACAGCCCACTTGCTGTCGAACTTGCTCCGCGCACCGAACGGCCCCAGTCCAGCTCCACGACAGTCACCGGTCGTGCGCCTGCAGCAGGCAGAATCTACACGATTCTTGGCGGAGTTAGGAGATCATTCTGTCTGAGCGTCTTCACCAAGTAAACCATTCTCCCCAAGTCCTGTGAAACTTAGAACATCTGGAAGTGTTTGCCTCATTTTGCCTCTTACTTGAGACCAACTGTCAGACCGGTGCCCAGTAATGAGACATCCAAGCGAGCCCGGCCTTCGATCATCAATCGGCGCTGACTCTTGAGACCTGCGTGTTCACCACTCCGACAGCAGACGACCCCCGAGAGCTGTTTCTCCCGGAGCCCAGCCGATTATTCTTCGGCTCAAGGTTTCTCTCCCGGCATCAATGGCATCAATGGCTGTGGAAAACTTAGGAGCGGAGCCTTCATGGGAGCTTCATAAGGTCTGAAACGGTGTTTTCGTTCACGTGTAACAAGAGCTTCACACCTCCTATCTTCCAAGACAAATCAAGACAACAGATTGCACAGAGCCCATGTGCAGCTTCAATCTCTATACCTGCCATCACGCTATCTCTACTTCTGGTTGTTTCATGAAAAGATCAAACCACATCCCCGTTCTGGGGCGGCCTTCAGCTAGGCTTTGCACCCCGGCACAGGTAATCAGATTCCTGGCGCGCAACGTAGCGTCCTTGCTCCGTTCGTAGCGATGCCCTTTGTTCCTAGTAGCTTCTTGCTCCGTTCGTAGCGATGCCAGGAGCCCCTAGTAGCTTCTTCTTTTCCTAATACCACAAACGGAGGCCATGTCATGCCATCCATTTGAAGAGCTTGGCATGATGTCTGTCTTGTTTCTCCCGTCGCAAAGAGACCTCTCTTTCTCCCGCGAGAAAAAGAAGGTCTGAAAAAATTGTCTGAGTTCAGTTCTATCAAGTTCTGTTCCTTGCATGACATGAACAAATTGATTTTGAGGGGTGTCTGTTGCAAAGCAGGTCTATAACCCAAATGGATGATCCAGCTGGCCGGTCACCTCCACAAAAATGACACAGAATAACAGTTCTTCCATGTTATTCTTGTTTACAACACACGGGATGTTCACTGACCCCGTCTTGGGCATTTGAGCGACCGGAGAAACATTCACGAAGAAGTGGGATGGGTACCAAACTCTCTCCGAAAGAAGGAAAAAAACGATTCTCGAGTCCTGCTTGCTCCGTCACCCCAAGTAAAACAACTCCAATGGACTGCCCTGTAGGCTCTGGCAATTCTTTTTCCGCGCGATGTCGCCGCTCAACCTGCAGGCTTCACGGTGACCTGAAGCGTGGCTTGCTCACTGTGCAATGTGAGGCCCGATTTCTCCCAACAGCCCAAAGCTATGTAAGCTGCCACTGCTTCATCAATTCAAGTTGCCTTGACGGATCATGTAGCCAAGTCTTGAAATGATGAGAGGCTTGAAATTCGTCAACATCTGTTTCTTCATAGGCTTTACAGAAGCCAGCGAGCAGATTGGCACTCCTTTTCCACCCGTCAACCCCAAGTTATATTATCCTAAAGCAAAACCCATCTAACAGTCTGTGTGGTTCTGTCGTATTCTTCCACAAAGCCCCAAAAACATCAGGATGCTCAGGTCAGAATCATATTTTTGGCAGTTCACTCATTCTACCCGCAGTCCCCCGCCTCTTAGAACCTGCTCGTGAGACGACTTGCAACGATCAACCGCCAAATGGCAAACCCTCTTGGACAGATCGAGCGGCAACGGCCCACACTGTCTACTCTCCTTCCACATCGCCACACGCAATCTGTGAACCAAAAACGACTAATGGCCATTGGAGTACGAAAAAGTTCGCTATTAGAAACAAGTGCACCGCTACTAGGACAAGTGCCTTACTAGTAGTAACAAGGTTCGCTACTAGGACAATAAGAAGCTATTTAAACTACTATAGTATAGTAGCTTCTCTAAGTCGTTTTGGAGATTTCCCCAGGACAGCCGTTGGACGCCTCCGGCCGACCGCACCTTCACCGGGAGACCCCCTGCCAAGCAGAGCTCGCCGGCCAGTTCGTGGAGTTCCGGCCTCAACGGCTCTTGTTTGTTTCGGTGCCCGGATCGAGACGGACATGGACCTGGATTGTCAAACCTCGTCAGTCGCATGGTGGGTTGAAATAGCATCATGGCGACATTAGGGTTCCAATCGGTTCCAACTACCTCCTGAGAAGTGCTGTAGGCGGCACAGGTGGCACCCAAAGAAATGTCAGGTGGCGAAAAGCCTTTGATGGGGCATGGCTAAGTAGTGGTGGCTCTAAAAAGGAGCATCGGTCACATCACAGATCCCCAACTGCAGGTGTTCATCCACTTCTTGACTTGATATGTCCACAAAAACAACACGAACAAAGAGACCAAACATCAAACCGTCAAGAGGTTCCCGGTGCGAGAACCCACTGCTTTCAGTGCTTTTTCAACTAAAAGAGGCTGATGGTCGAAGAGCTTCGATCCATTCTTCCTGATCCAAACTCACCAAATTCCGACCTAGTCAACCTAAAGTATGCAAAAAGGATTAGTAGTTGGGTTTCCTTAGGGTCTACTTGATCTGCCTCATCAAAGGCCCACGCCGCCACCCTTCCCAGCTCTGGCACCCCGGACGTCCAGCTGTTGCAGAACATCAGTGTTTGCCGCTCCGGCCGGATCCAGGACGAGAGTTCGCGCAAGGCCTCCGGGAGTGGAACAGATCGGTAGAGGGCGGACTCCTCCCGGTAGAGAGTGGAATGGTTTGACCTCTCCGGGTACTGGGCTTTATTTTAACAACAGGCCTACATTTGGCATTCAACATACCGGGATCTTTTTTATCCAACTTGAAGGTGCCTCAACATGGCACCAGACAGAGAAAGACAGAGAGAGAGAGAGGGAGAGCGCCAGGCTTTTCTAGGGACTCTAGGGCACCTTCATAAGGTCTTTTTTTGAGGTCTGGCACCTTCGCAACGCTAGTGGTTCTTGGGCCTCAACTTACAGACTGTCAGAAGCTGGAGTTCCCAAACAGATAAAAACTGTGGTTGAAGGCTGTTGAAGGTGGGAATGGTGGTTTACGTGTCTCTCTCCCCAAGCAAAAAGTATGTCGATCCGAGTCGAGCCTCGAACCTTTCCGATCGGGGTCATGGTTTTGGGGCTCAAGCCTTGTCCGGGATGGGTGGGTCATGGCACCAGCCGGACAGGTCAACCTACCGTTACGGTCACCCTGCAGAAGAAAGGGGTGACCTCGGATTTCGACCCATGGCGATAGTCCATTTGCTTGAAGACGATCTATCACTTGCAATCCTCTGCAAGAACTGCTGGGTGATCTCTTCCCAGAATCTGGATTCAGCGACCCAAATCTGTTGGGATGCGTCGCTGACCGATTGACCTCTCCCGCAGCTGTCCCGTCGCTCCATCCAGTCAGACTCGAGACGAAACAAAGATGACAGCAAACTCGTGACACCCACACCATCTCGGTGACCGCCACCCCAACTTCAACCGCACTGCGCGCTAGGCACGCTTGCTTTTGAACCCAGTGAAGCCAACTTTGGGCTTGTCTCATAGCGCATGCCTTGCGCTGGGCAGTCAGACCGACCATGTCTTGGCGTCTTTAGTGCGCCAGAGTGGATGTTTTCGCAGAAGATCACTTATCTTCAGTGTAGATGACTATGGAGATCTATGGAGTCATAAATAAAGACACACACGTATAGTTTATATATATATATACCCCCGCCCGAAATAGATAGAAAAGTAGATCCCCACTAAAAATGTATTGGAAACCGCTTCCATCTATCAGGGGATTACTATAATTCAATGTTAAAAGCTCAAATGCTTTCCAAATCTTCCATACATCCCATCAAACTCGACCTGTCCAAGCGAACTTTCGGAGACAAAGCCCATGTACATCATCCAACAAAACAATATAGCTCACAGATTTGGTGCCCATTTCTAAGCTTCTTCTTTCCATTGATTGAAACCCGGCTCATTGCATCTCATTGCCCCTTCCTAGGTGACATCTTTCGAAGAATGGAACCCCCGCAAGCCAAACCCTTCAGAAAAGTGGACGCGCACACGCACTGCTTGGAGGGGTGCCCCATTTCCCCGGACCCAAAGCTGCTGCAACATGGGTCTTAAGGATCTGAAAGCAAACATTCAGAGATACGAAGAAATAAAGCATGCAATTGACTTCAAAAGTTGGGACATTGTCTTGGCCTTGGTGTATTTATCTAGCTTTGATGAGTCTTTTCATGGTGTACTTACATAGAATTGGCGGCAAAAACTCGCAAAAAGAGTCCAGCAGAAAGTGCTGTTGGCATCACAGGCCGTCACAGGCCTCTTGTTCTTGACCGTTTGCTCTGATGCACCACCCCGCCGTAAACTGCTCGGCCGACTAAGCGCACTAAGCGCACTAAGCCAGCTATCTTCGTCGACTCCGGGATCCTGCAAGGCATGTGGAGGTGCCAGGAAGGAGGGGATCCTCATGGTTTTTGGAAGGAGGGTTAGCTTTGAGGGATCTGGGGCCGCATCTCAGTACACTTCCTTGGACCCTCGGACCTGCGTGAGAATTGGAGGACCGAGCCGCTCGTGTGCGGTATCAACCGCTTGACCCTATGAGAGTGTGACAAGGAGCGAGCTGCTGGGAGATACCCCAGCACAACCCTCAAATGGACTTGTGCTCTCATTCGTGGGGTCCCCCAACTCTTGACCCATCCCGAGATCTTGGGGAGTTTGCAGTTCTCAGGGGAGAAATCCACCACACCACCTGATAACATGGGGATTCTTTCAGGGATTCTCTCACTGGCCAAACGAAGTCAGATCATTTGGCCCCACCTAATATGTTGAAAGAGCGCGAATGAATATACAGTAGAACAAAGCTTTCGGCAACAAGTGCAAACAATTAGAGGGCTATTCATCGCATGATGATCCTCTCTCACAAAGAAGGAGCATGCTCTGCATTCCGTTTCGGTCTGCGGTGCATATTATAGGGAGCCCTTGAAGTGAAAAGCATGGTCGTGCACTCCGCGGAGCAACATGGCCAAAGTCTGTTCGTGGAGCTCCTTGCCGCTGGTGTTACATAATAGCAACCTCTGCTCCCAATTAAGCCTCCCGAGCCCCTAGTAATTAGCGTCCTTGCTCCTAGTAGCGATGCCTTTTGTTCCTAGTAGCGTCCTTGCTCCTAGTCTGAATCAAAGGATTGTCGAATGGTGTGGAACCATTATATGGCCCAGCCTCGACGGCGGCTGCGAGACCGGGATGCCTTCCAGGGTGGCGAGAATAGGTTGGGAAGGTGTCGCGTTAGATAAGTGAAGTTTGCAAGCGGCAAGACTCATTGTATGGAGCAAGCATGGAATCCATGAGCACTTGATTTAAGATGCCCATTGTGTAAGAGACTGAAATACCTTCTGAGACTCACAGAGAAGCCGGACATGGCCCTCTTGCTACAGAAGACAATATAACTTGACCAGACGAGCCGAGTCAATGACTGAACCAAAAACTCACAGAGTTGTGGGTGAGGCGAACACAAAGAGTATTCCAAAAGCCACCCCGACGCAAATATCCATAAACTGTTCTTCCTGCTGATCCAGAAAGACGTTTGATCTCCCAGAGACGCCTCCAGAACCACCATGAACCACCCGATACAGGTTCCCCCCGAAAGCTTTCCCACATCATCCCACCTCGCCTCGCGCCGTTTCCGTCGTTCCTTGCTGCGCCGATCACCTCAGGGCCATTCATTTCTCTCGACGTGTCGTGACGTTGTGTTTCGCTCGTTGGAACGAAGGGGAAGCAAAGTGGTCGGCGGGATGCCTGGGATGCGTGGCCGGGTGTCTCCCGAATAGGCCAGGTGAGCACCGCGCAACACTTTTTACTACCAAAAATCACCTGGTGGATGATCCAGGTATGTGGGAGTGGAAGATTCAAAGCAAGTGATTGAGTTTACGAAGGAGCATGGCTCAGAAATGCAACCAGACTATACGGCTCAGGAAGGCTTTCTCGACCATGCTTTGGCTTTGATTGCCAGATTGTACTTGGACTGTCCGCCAACTCAAAAATATTCAAGCCCATTCATGCCAACAATCTAAACTGCTCGAAAGAAACATGCAAATGTTGTAGCCCCTCAGAGTACGGGTCGCAACTGCTCAAAATCGTACACGTTGACGCCCGACTGAAAAGTGTTCAAAGAATGAACTTGACGCAATGCCAAGTTGATGGCTGTGGACGGATCCCCCTGATTGGATAAAACTCGCATCCGACCCGTCTGCGCTTGGCGTTTCGCAACAGGCATTTTCTTTCCTAAGTCTTCCGGACCCGGTCCCCACCAATCGAGCTTCCGTCCCTGCATCCCTTTTCCATCCACAAAATAAAAGAGACCAGCCGTCCCTGCGCTCGTCGTCGGGCCGCTGAGTCTTGGCCAGACGGTCTTTGTCTTGGCTAGTCGGGTGCCAGTCCCCCTGGACAAATGCTCAAATCGGGGCCTTGAGTCGGTGTTAGGATCAGGACCAACAAGAATCAAAGAGACATCTGCCGGCCGCCCCCTTTGTCACGCAACCTGCGGTTGTGACTGGATTCAATAAAGGACTCCCATGGCACTAGTGACGTCCTTGGTCCTTTGTCCAATTGCAGTCGGGGCTTGTCCAAACCAAGACCCAAGTCAGCAACGGCCATGAGTACCCCCAAAAACTATCAAAAACATCAGTAGGTAGAGGAAGCGTACCACGCGCTGTGGGCTACAACCTGGAGGCCACAACAAAAACTTGGTAGACCTGACATGTCTCCCAATCTCCTACTACATCGACTTGCATTCTTTAACCACATCGCCTTTTTGTGCCCTGTCGAGGTCCCCCAAGTGTTGTGGTGATTCGCTGAGTCAAAGCCCCAAGTGATCCCTGGTGGCAGGCCAAGGCTTTCCCCATCAACGGCGCTCGCCGCTCGTGTGAGACACCCACGGTCAGGTCCACCACCGCGGTGAACCATCAACCAAAATCACTGCAATCAAAGAGAGATTGACTCAACAGTTGCTTGTTTAGTGCTGGGTTTTCCCATGTTGCCCATTGATCTTGCAGTGGTGTCATTGGGTCGATAGGCTCAAAAACGGAGTCAAACTGGTTTGTCAGACTGAAACGAGACCCGACATCCACCTTGCATGAGCACAAATTTAGCAAAGGCTGTAACTGTAGTCAGTGTCTTGTTGATGACTTGAATGGTTTGTATAATAATGCCCTATGCTGGTGGAATTGAAGGTAGGAATGACACGTCAAAGACTATCTTCCCAACAAAGTGATTTTACGGGGGGACTGCTCATTATGCTTACTGCCTTATGTTTCACCGGTGTGCCTGACTCACTTGACGGAATCTAATTGAAGGGAGGGAGATTGTGATTTCAGAAAGCTCGCAGAACCATTTGCAAGCATCCTCTTCCAACATCCATGGAGAAACTCTTTGAATTCCCAGAAATACTCCTCATCATGAACAAATGAGCACAGTGCCCCGAAAGGAGACTGTTCTGGTTGCTTTGTCCCAATAGACCCCCAACATGTGTGCCTGCGTGTTGCTGTTCTTGTGTTTTGTGTTTTACGGGATCGCTTGGAAACATCTTGGAAACATCACCTGTTTGAATCGAACATGTTGGAAACTGGAATTCCTTCAGTTGCAGCTCTGTGAATACCTCCCTCTCGCACGCACGTGGCGTGCTGGAAGGCCGCCT